CCTTTGCCCCGGCCACTCCCATCACTGGAGTCCCAGCTGTTCCTGCGTCTCCTTTCTGCTGTTCTGTAGTCCTCCCTGTACCTCAGATGGTCCTCGTCATCAAGTCTCAGCTCCTAGGCCGCCCTTGTCATCACCCTTTTCCTCTCCCATAGGCGTTTATTTGGCACCTGCTCTGCGCCAGGCCTGACTCCATCCCTGTTCTGTGGGAATGCCTGTCTGCTGGGGCAGGCAGCTCTGAATCAGTGACTGCACAGCTCGGTCGGTGCCGTGTGGAGACAGTAAGGCTGTGGGGGCCAGGGAGGCCCTAGCTCTCCCTGGGGAAAAGGCAGGGGGAGGTGCTGAAGAGGGAGGAGGAGGAAGCAGTCACTCGGCAAGTAGCGCAGGTGAAGGGATCCTAGGCAGAGGCAGTGCCCATGTGGCAGAGGAACGGAGGTGGGGTGAGAGCGTGCTCTGAGGAACCGAGCGTGGTCTGGAGCTGGGAGAGCAGCTGCGGGGACAGTGGCAGCAGCTACAGAGTAGGGCCTCGATCCTGAGAGCGGCAGGAAGCCATCGAGGAGTCTTGAGCAGGGGAGATGCCTGCTCAGGCTTGCTCTTCAGAAAAGTCTGTGTGGTCCTAAGGCACAGAACGAAGTCCCAGTTGCAAGGGCTGGGTCCAGCCTCCCTGCAAGGCAGGACGCTGTAGGTTGTGGTTGTCTAGTTGGTGGCTTTGGGTTTTGGAAAGATCCTTCTGGTGTTGCACAGAGGCCTGGAAGAAGGTGGAGAGCTACTGGAGGCCTGTGGACTGGCTGTGGAAATAACCCAGTGAGTGAGCAGTGCGGGGGCCTGAACACATCAGGGCAGGGGGGCTAGACTGAGAGTTTAAGGAGGTTGGGTCACTGAGACTTGGCTACTTGGGGGAGGGAGGAAATCCAGATTAAGTCTGTAGTGTAGCCTGTTGTTAAATTGCCCAGAAGGAGCCCTGGCCTAGGGGGCTTTACCAGGACAAGCCTTTCCCTCTGTGTGCCTCAGTTTCCCCAGGTGTGAAGGGATTGAGCAAAGTGGCCTTTCTTGCTCTGACCCAGCAGTTCTGTCCCATGCCTCTGGCTGAGGAGCAGGGACACAGAGACCACAGTGTAGCCAGCTGGGGCCTAGTCTGGGATTATCAAATCTGGCCGGGTCTGTTGCAGCTGGAAGCCAGCCCCTGGCATGGCTACCGTCTGAGAGCGCATGTCCCTGGCCCTTAGATGCCCTCTCCACCTTCGTGCAGGCTCTGTCCTCCCTGTCAGCTGTCTTGGCGCAGCCTGCCTGGCCGCCCCAGGCCCTAACTCTGACCAGGGCCTCTGCTCTCCCCGTGACTGGCCCTGAGAGGAATGGCTCGGCTCTGGGGCCCTATTGGCAAAACCCTGCCTGGGCCACACACGCCCCTGCCTCCCGGGCTGGATGCCTGCCCACCATGGGATTAGAAGGAGGCCTGGCCTTGCCTGCCCTGACGTGGCAGACTGCCTTGGAGCCCAAGGAAGGAGTTGGAGTCTGAGAGGCTGTGCTTTGCCTCCCTGCGCGTGCTCCAGCCCGGGGGCTCTGCACTCCTCTCTTTGAGGGAAGTGGGAGCACAGCACAGTGGGGCTTGCTCCTTAGCTTGCCAGGGGGGGAGTGGGGTGGGAGCTCAGCCCTGCTCAGTGTACAGTATTTCCTGCCTGACAGGTAACCGGGCTCCTTAGCTTCCTCATTGGAAAGCTCAGCTGGCCATGCCAGAGCCCTGCAGGACTAGGTCCCAGAATCCTGGCATCAAGGGTGGGATATCTTGAGGACTGGCAGTCTCCCCCTGCCCCTGCCTGGTGAGTGACAGATGAGGTTCAGGAGGGGAGGGGCTTGCTCAGGATCACATAGCACATGAGGGGCAGGGCTAGGATTTGAACTCAAGTCTGCCTCTAGACATTCCATTACAAACCTTTGATGAGGTCCTACTGTGTGCCAGGTACTTCTTTTTTTAAAAATTTAATTAATTAATTAATTTATTTATTTTCTTCTTCTTTTTTTTTTTTTTTTTTGGTATTTGGGCCTCTCACTGACGTGACCTCTCCCGTTGCGGAGCACAGGCTCCGGACGCGCAGGCCTAGCGGCCATGGCTCACGGGCCCAGCCGCTCCGCGGCATGTGGGATCTTCCCGGACCGGGGCACGAACCCGTGTCCCCTGCATCGGCAGGCGGACTCTCAACCACTGCGCCACCAGGGAAGCCCTAAAAATTTAACTTATTTATTGATTGATTTTTGGCTGCATTGTGTCTTCACTGCTGCGCACGGGCTTTCTCTAGTTGCGGCGAGCGGGGGCTACACTTTGTTGCGGTGCATGGGTTCTTATTGCTGTGGCTTCTCTTGTTGCAGAGCACGGGCTCTAGGCACGCGGGCTTCAGTAGTTGCAGCACGTGGGCTCAGTAGTTGTGGCTCACAGGCTCTAGAGTGCGGGCTCAGTATTTGTGGCGCATGGGCTTAGCTGCTCTGTGGCATGTGGGATCTTCCCAGACCAGGGATCGAACCTGTGTCCCCTGCATTGGCAGGCGGATTCTTAACCACTGCACCACCAGGGAAGTCCGTGTGCCAGGTACTTCTAAGCATAAGCACTAGAGTAGGAGCTTCGCAAAGGATTGGCCCAACTTCTATTATATGCTCAGTGTTTGGGGGAGGGTCCAATACAGAGGAGGTGCTCGGTGAATGAATGAGTGAATGAATGAATGAACAAATGGGTAAGGCAAAGATCCTGCCTCCAGGCATGTAGACTCCAATGGATGGGACTTTGGCTTTGCACAACAGGAAATAGGAGGCTGGTGGGAGTGGGTATGGGCTAGGTGGGAAGCAGAGAGGATTGGAATTCAGATGTCCTGACTGCTGGCCTAGGGCTTTTTCCAGCCTCACTTTCCTCATCTGTAAAATGGGGTAAACGGTTTTCACCCTCTGCCTGCCTCGTGAGGATCCAGTGAGGCAGTAGATGAGAATAGGCTTTTAAAGCAGGGACATTGTGCTGGGGGGGCTTCGCTGTGTGCACATACAGAACCACCCAGAAACTCCACATGCTCTGCTTTTCTTCTGCCCCCTTACCCTCTGCATTTTGCGTCCCCCATTGCCCTAGCTTTCTCCAGGGCTTCTTTCTGGAATGTTCTGCCCAGAACCTCTAGCCATGGGAGGGGTTGGGAAGAGTGTGGGTGAACGGAGTCTGCCTGCCTCCTTCCTCTACCGTCTCCCACACCCAGAAAGCCAGCCACCCGCATCCACATCCAAGCAGGCCCCCAATGCACACCCGGCCGGAAATGCCTTGGCAGTGGTTACCATGGTGACGGGTCCTGATGCTTGGACTGCAGCGGCCTGGGAGCTGCCTGCAACAGCCTGGCAGCCTGGCACCCGCAGGCCCCCACCCAGGCTGCGAGCTCCTGGCGCAGCTGCCCTCCTCTCTCTCCTTTCGGTCCCTAGCACTGAGCCTGGTACCCAGGGACTCTTGGGAATGAGCTGCCTGTCTGGGAACCCACAAGCTGTTCTGGGTCAGACTGGCTTTGTTCAAATCCCAGCTCTGCCTCTTAGGGGGTCAGTGACCTAAACAAGTTAACTCGGTGTGTTTTGAATTGACTGAATTAGCTACGGGATCCTTGTGAAGGGAGTTATCCAAAGGGTATAGACTCCCAGATTGAGACCCATCCTTGCCCCGAGCCGTCACTGCCCCCATCCTGCAGCAGTGGCAGGGTCAACATCAGGTCACAGCGCTCTTTGCTGCTGAATCCGCATCCAGGGCCCTAGATTCCTCATCGCGGACCCCAGGAGGTCCTGCAGGCAGTGTACTGTGATGGGTAGGACCTCAGACTCTGTGGGTCACATCTGGGCTTGGCACTTACTTGGGCTTCAGTTTCCTCAACTATTTTTTTTTTAATTGAATTTGTTACAATATTGCTTCTGTTTTATGTTTTGGTTTTTTGGCCACGAGCCCCCCCCCCCCCCCCCCCCCCCGACCAGGGATTGAACCTGCACCCCCTGCATTGGAAGGTGAAGTCTTAACCACTGGACCGCCAGGGAAGTCCCAGTTTCCTCATCTTTGAAATGAAGATCATAATGTACCTCTTTCGGAGGTTTGTTGTATGGATAACATTTGAATTAGTACTTGTAAAGTGCTTAGACGAGTATCTGATACTTAATAAGCACTTTATAAATGTTAGCGGTGACTTATCGTCACCACAATTGGCATTGGCCATGAAAATTGGAACCCCTATGCCCGTCCCTCCTGTCATTTTACTCACGCAGGCAGGCGTCCCCACCTCTGTTCACAGTGTCATGAGAGAGATAGGACGGCAGTTTGGCTGCCCTTCCTCATCCCGCCCCATCCAGGGGACTGCTAGGCACTCCCCACCTCTGCTGCCTGGCGAGTGAGACAAGCTGGGCCCTGGGCAGAAACTCCTCCTCTAACTCATGAGTTTGAGGACTTTCTCTGCTGGTTCTCCAGCTGGCAGCTGTTCCAGCCCTGGTCGGGATCAGCCAGCTGGTCAGTGACCGCTCAGAGCCCTCCCAGTCAGTAGAGCTGATGACGGATGCGCACCCAGCAGAGATGCTGCTACTGATGTCATCTGAAGAATGAGGGGCCCAAGGAAGGGGCTCTTATAGGATGAAATAGGAGCAAATCCCCAGGCTTGACTGCTGTAGGGCTCACTGGGCCTCCCTGAAGAGTGAGGGGGAATCTTTCCAGAATGAAGGAGAATCTGAGGCAAAATTTGAATAAGCTGGCCCACCAGCTGAATTAATTCTCGGCTGCATCCCTCTCTCCCAGCCCCCTCCTTCGGGTCCAAGGTTATGTTAACACAGAATTGTTGGCCAAAAGGACGCTGGGCATAAGGGCATCCAGAGAGCCCCTGGGGGTCTGAGACCCTGGGCTGGAAGGTGGTGGCCACTCTTGGAGTTGGGGTCTTATGGCGGGTGGCCCTGGGGTCTCAGGGACTGGCAGATCTGGGAGACCCTGCTGTGAGCTGACCACCTCATCTGTTCCCCAGGGCCTGGCCTCCGTGTTCTCCAACCGTGCATCCCGGAAGTCGGCCTCACGCACTGAGAACAACAACATGGCAGAGGACAAGGGCTACCGGAACCCCACGGAGGTGCAGATGAGCCAGCTGGTGCTGCCCTGCCACACCAACCAGCGTGGCGAGCTGAGCGTCGGGCAGCTGCTCAAGTGGATTGACACCACCGCCTGCCTGTCCGGTGAGGCCGCGCCCGGCACAGCTGCCCTCCCAGCCCCGGCACCACACACCTAGAGGAGAGGCCCCAGTTTTCAGAGACGGTTGCCGTCCCCAAGTGCCACCCTCCTCCCTCATCCCAGACTTTGCTCAGGCTGCTCCACCTGCCTGCGATGCCCTCTTCAAGTTCTCCATGCTCGGCTCGGGCCCAGCCTCTTGCCCGGAGGCCCCCAGAGGTCTGAGTACTATAACCTGAGGTCTGAGTACTATAACTTAAGGTCCCTGCTCTGACACAGCGCGGCCTTCAACGTGGCTGCTCCGAGACTGGCTGTGAGCAAAGCCTGTGGCATTGAGTAGAGTTGAGTGGAACTGGATTGAGCTCATTTCGTTGCCTTTGGTGCCCCAGTATTCTCCAGCCCACAGGGAGTTCACAGTCTGATGGGGGGGCCAGACAGGAGACTGACTGCCCCCCAGCACTGTCTGATGGGAGCTGGGAAAGGGAGGTGGAAGCAGGGCTCTGGGAGAACAGACCAGAGGCTCTGCCCCAGCCCTGGGGGCAGAGAAGGGATTCTAGGAGGACTAAGGCCTGGGAGCACAGTCCTCAGAGGAAGAATGACTCAGCCAAGGAGACGAAGGTGGGTGAGGTTGACTGGACAGGGGTACGGGCACTCTAGGAGGTCAGGAAGTGGAATAGCATGGCGTCATCATTCATTCATTCGACAGCTGTTCATTGAGTATCTCCTGCGTGCCCGGCACTGCTCCAGGACTGGGGCACAGCAGTGAACAAGACAGGCAAAAATCCTTGCCCTCAAGTGACATGCAGTCTAGCAGGAGGGAGAGGCACTAAGACAGACGAAACCCACATACATAAGACAGGGTCAGGGTGTTGTAATCACGGTGAGGAAAGTAAAGAAGGGTGGGAGCACGGGCGAGGAGGCAGGCCTTAGCTAGGCGGTCTGACGTTTGATCAGAGGCCTGGGTCATGGGGAGGCTGCTAACACGTGCTTTCTTCTCCTGACGCCAGCGGAGAGGCATGCTGGCTGCCCCTGCGTCACAGCCTCCATGGACGATATCTATTTTGAGCACACCATTAGGTAAGTGGCCCCTCCTGCCCTTCCTTCTGGCCTCCCCATCACGAGTCCAGAGCCCTTCCCCCATCTACTGCCTGCTCAGCCTGTGTGCTGCCTGGAACCTGCCTCAGCTGACTGAGGGCCTCTGCAGATGGAGAGGGGGCAGCCTTTGGTGAGCAGTGACCCGTCTCGTCTGCAGGGTCTCTGGGACGGCGGTGGGCTGGCAGCTGCACTGTGGCTGGCAGCTCCCTCATCCAGGCCTGGAGCTGGGTGCTGCTGAGGCAGTGTCATGGGGTGCTGTGTGACTTTGGGGAAGGCAGTCTCTCTCTCTGGTCCTCAGTTTTCTTATCTTCAAAATGGAAGGGGTTAGACTTAATCAGTGAATTCCTTTTTGAGCTTGGACATTCTTGTGGGTCATTGGTCATCAGACTGTAGGGAGGTCCCTAGATAAGGTGCCTTGGCAGAGCCTGACCCAGAAGTTTGGACCATTCAGCCTCTGCTTATGTACCCCCAGGGATGAGGAACTCATTACCTCCTGGTTTTTTGGGTTTTCGGGTTTTTTTTTTTTTTAACTGTCTGTACTGATTAGAAGACTCTTCATTACACGGTGCTGAGCTTTGTCTCTGCACAGCTTTGCTGGGACCCAGGGAGCATATGCTGAGCCCTCTGCCCAGGACAGGCTGCAGGGCTGCATACGGTGCTTCGGCCTCCAGGTCTGCTCTTAAACCATCTCAGTGCCTAGGACATCAGGTGCCAAGGACTTATTCAGGACTTCCTGGTGCCCCACAAGTTGTGGTTAAGGAAAAAGTTTGGCTAGTCCCTGTATCCTCTTATTTAGTCATTCATCACTGCTTGTGGACCAGGGCCCATGCTGGGTTTGGGGTCCACAAAGTCAACTGGAACATAGTCCCTGTGCCCCAGGAGCTCCCAGAATGCAGGGAGGCAGATAGAGAAACATAATTTCAATTCAAAGCAGTGAATTCCAGGGTAATAATGATCTCTGCATAGGGGTGCTTTGTAATACTTTTTATAAATGTCTTTTATTTTGGAATAGTTTTTGATTTGCAAAAACACTGTAGATAGTACAGAGTTCCCATATACCCCACACCGAGATTCCCTGTTATTAACATCTTACATTCCTATGGTACCTCTGTCACAATAAGCCAATATTGATGCGTTATTTGTAATGTCTTTTTAATTAACTTAAGTCCTCAGAACAACCCTATGAGGTCGTGGCTATTAGTACCCTCATTTTACAGGTGAGAAAACGGAGGCACAGAGAAGTGAAGTAACTTGCTTCAAGTCATACAGCTGGTGGAGAACCCAGGACATACTACGAGCCAGGCAGTCTGGCCCCAGAGCCCTTGTTCTTAACAAACAGGCCTCATTGCCTATATGTCTGGGGGTGGGTATAGTGAGTGGCACAGAGGGTAGTCAAGGGTGGCTTCCTGGAGGAGGTGTTTGAGCTGGCTCCAGTACTGTGTGTAGTGACAATTTGTAGGCCAGTGGAGCCGTGTCCGGGCCAGCTCTGGGTCTCCCTTGCCAACACGAGATCTGGCACTTGGAGGAGCAAGGGATAGAGAAGGCTGGGGTGGGGTGTGTACATGATGGATGGGCACGCTGCGGGACCCAGTGGAGTGGAGGTGAGTCTGGGAAGAGAAGGGTGTGGGTGGGGGGAAAAACTGGAGAGGATCCTGGGAAGGAGGGTAAGCTGGGGAGAGGCCTGGAGCGTGATTGGTGGCCAGGAAAGGCCTGGTCATACCTGAGGAAAGCTGGGGAAGGTTTTTTTGTTTGTTTTTGCTTTTGCCATTTAAAAATATCTCAAAGGACTTCCCTTGTGGCGCAGTGGTTAAGAATCCTCCTGCCAATGCAGGGGACACGCGTTTGAGCCCTGGTCTGAGGAAATCCCACATGCCGCGGAGCAACTAAGCCCGTGCGCCACAACTACTGAGCCTGTGCTCTAGAACCTGTGTGCCACAACTACTGAGCCTGCGTGCCACAACTAATGAAGCCTGCACACCTAGAGCCTGCGCTCCGCAACAAGAGGAACCACTGCAGTGAGAAGCCTGTGTGCCACAACCAAGAGTAACCCCTGTTCACCGCAACTAGAGAAAGCCCACACGCCACAACGAAGACCCAACGTAGCCAAAACATAACAAATAAATTAATTTAATTTAATTAAAATTCTAAAAAAAAATTTAAAATATCACAAAATGTATCTCTAATGGATAAGAACTTTTTAAAACATAATATCAATACCACTACCACACCTAAAGAAAATGAACAGTTTCTCACTAACATCAAATATCCAGTCAGCATTCAGTTGCCCACAATGTCTCATGAATTTGTTTTTTAATTTTGTTTTGCTTTACAGTTATTTTTGTTGCTCAAGTCAGGATGCAAATCAGGTTGCAATTGATTGCTAGGTCTTTTAAATGTTGTTTTTTTTTTTGGCCATGCCTTGCAGGATCTTAGTTCCCCGCCCAGGGATTGAACCCAGGCCCTGGCAATGAAAGTGCCGAGTCCTAACCACTGGACCACCAGGGACTTCCCTCTTAAGTCTTTTTTTTTTTTTTGCGGTACGTGGGCCTCTCACTGTTGTGGCCTCTCCCGTTGCGGAGCACAGGCTCCCGACGCGCAGGCTCAGCGGCCTAGCCGCCCTGCGGCATGTGGGATCTTCCCGGACCGGGGCAGGAACCCGTGTCCCCTGCATCAGCAGGCGGACTCTCAGCCACTGCACCACCAGGGAAGCCCCCTCTTAAGTCTTTTTTTTAACCCTTAGGTCCTACATCTCCCCACAACACCCTCTCCAACTACCCTCTCCTCCCCGCTCCCTCTCCCTCTCTATCTGTCTTCTCTTGAAGTTTGTTTGTTGTTTGTTTAAATAAATAGATTTATTTTTGGCTGCGTTAGCTCTTCGTTGCTGTGCGCGGGCTTTCTCTAGTTGCGGCAAGTGGGGGCTACTCTTTGCTGCGGTGCGCGGGCTTCTCATTGTGGTGGCTTCCCTTTGTTGCTGACCACGGGCTCTAGGTGTGTGGGCTTCAGTAGTTGTGGTTCACGGGCTCTAGAGCACAGGCTCAGTAGTTGTGGCCCACGGGCTTAGTTGCTCTGTGGCATGTGGGATCTTCCCGGACCAGGGCTCAAATCTGTGTCCCCTGCACTGGCAGGCGGATTCTTAACCACTGCGCCACCAGGGAAACCCAAAGTTTATTTGTTGAAGAAACCTGGTTATCTAGAGTTCTTCATCATCTGGGTTTTGCTGTTAGCATCACTGTGGTGTCATTTAACATGTTCCTCTGTCCCCTGCTAGTAAATTGGCCTTGGGGAAGGGCTTGAACAGGGGTCATGTTTGTTTGTTGGAGCTGCCTCTGGAGGGGTGTTGGGAAATTAGCAGCTTGAAGGGGGCCCAAGGAGGCTGGGCAATGACCCTGGGGATGGAGCCAGTTTTGGCCTGAGCTGTGAGATGGAGGACAGTCAGGAAGGAAGAGAAGCTTGGGAGTCCAAATGGGTTACTGCTTGGCTTTGCGGAAGGGCTAGAGAGGGGGAGGGGAGGAGGAGGAAGGGGAAGGGTCATAAACTTCTTTCTCTTTTTTTAGCACTGCAAAAAATAGACTTACTTTTACTTGGGGGATGAGGGAAGTTTTTTTTTTCTACTTTTTTATGATGAAAACTTTCAAAATTATAGAAAGTTCAAAATTATAGAAAGTTCAAAATTATAGAAAGTTCAAAATTATAGAAAGCTGTGGTCATCCCTACTGAGAGTTAATAATGAGCACTTCGCTAAATTTGCTTTATCTGGATGTGGATAAACACAAGCAGACCTCATTTTATTGCACTTTGCAGGTATTGCATTTTTTTACAAATTGAAGGTTTGTGGCAATCCTGCATCAAGCAAATCTATTGACCTCATTTTTCCAACGACATTGGCTCATTTAGTGTCTCTGTGTCACATTTTGGTAATTTTTGCAATATTTCAGACTTTTTCATTATTATTATATTTTTTATGGTGATCTGTGATCAGTGATCTTTGATGTTACTGTTGCAAAAAGATTACAACTGGCTGAAGGCTCAGATGATGGTTAGCATGTTTTAGCAAGAAAGCTTTTTTTTTTTTAAATAAGTTTATTTATTTATTATTTATTTTTGGCTGCATTGGGGCTTCATTGCTGCACGCGGGCTTTCTCTAGTTGCATGAGCGGGGGCTACTCTTCGTTGCGGTGCGCGGGCTTCTCATTGCGGTGGCTTCTCTTGTTGCAGAGCACGGGCTCTAGACACACGGGGTTCATTAGTTGTGGCATGCGGGCTCAGTAGTTGTGGCTCGCGGGCTCAGTAGTTGTGGCTCACGGGCTCTAGGGCACAGGTTCAGTTGCTACGTGGCATGTGGGATCTTCCCAGAACAGGGCTCGAACCTGTGTCCCCTCAACTGGCAGGCAGATTCTTAACCACTGCGCTACCAGGGAAGTCCCAAGAAGGTATTTTTAAATTAAGGTATGTATATTGCTTTTTAGACATATTGCAATTGCATACTTAATACACTACAGTATAGTGTAAACATATCTTTTATATACACCAGGAAACCAAAACAATTGTGTGACTCGCTTTATTGCGATATTTGCTTTACTGCCATGGTCTGGAATGGAATCCACAGTATCACTGTTGTGTGAACTATTTGAAAGTAAGTTGCAGACATCATGACACTTCATCCCTCCATATGTCAGCATGCATCTCCTAAAAATGATAGTCCCCTACCTGACTATTAGAACTACTAAAAAAATAATAATAATAACAGAAATGAACAAGTCAGGACTTCCCTGGTGGCGCAGTGGTTAAGAATCGCCTGCCAATGCAGGGGACACGGGTTTGAGCCCTGGTCCAGGAAGATCCCACATGCCACGGAGCAACTAAGCCCGTGCACCACAACTACTGAAGCCCACGTGCTTACAGCCCGTGCCCCACAACAAAGAGAAGCCACCACAAGGAGAAGCCCGTGTACCGCAACGAAGAGTAGTAGCCCCGCTGGACGCAACTAGAGGAAGCCTGCGTGCTGCAATGAAGACCCAACGCAGCCAAAAATAAATAAATAAATAATTTTAAAAAAAAGTCAGCACAGGGCAGCAAAGTGGCTCGCTCAGGGATTCTGATGTTCATCTGGACCTGGGAGTCATTCCAGAGGGACAGTTGCAGCTGGGAAGAGCAGGGCTGGGGTGCTCAGTAGAATCAGTCTAGAACCCTGGCTCTGTCCATCTTTAGCTGGGTGACCTTAGGCAAATGGCTTACCCTCTCTGATACTCAGTCCCCCCTAAACCTACCTGCCAAACTTGTTCTGAGGTTCAAATGAGGTTGTGCAGAGTACCTGGCACATAGTAGGTATTCTTTCCCTTCCTACCCTGTGTTTATAGTTATCTTGTGCTTAGTAGGCATTCAATAATTGTGGAATTCATTAATTCAGTAGGCCACTATTCATGGCTTACCTTGTGCCATGTGCAAGGACTTGAAGATTCAGTGGTGAGCAAAACAGACATGATCCTTGCCCCATCAGGGCTTAAGGACTGTGGGGGAGACAGAGGTCAATCTGTTGGAAGAAGTGTTAGGAGGGTGAACCTTATGGGGCTCCGGGAGGGTAGGGAGAGCTTTCCTTAGGAAGGACTGTTGAGCTGAGAGCAAAGAGAAGCTTGAGCATTCACTGGACAAGGGGAAGCGGGAGAAAGGGGGAGATGAATGACATCATGCCACTTCTCTTGCCCCAGCTTCCCCACCTGTAGAATAAGGTGCTAACACTGTCTTGCCGGTTTGCTTTGAGGACTCAGTGACATGGTAGATGTGAATATGCTCCATATGCCATGATGTTCTCCTGCCAGTTCCTCTCAGCAGAGACACCTGTTCTCTCCCTCTGTCCCCTCTTGGAAAGCTTACCTCCTGCTTTTCTCTCCTCAGTGTTGGACAAGTGGTGAATATCAAGGCCAGGGTGAACCGGGCCTTCAACTCCAGTATGGAGGTGAGCAGGTGGGTGGGTGGGTTTCTACCTCCTCTTCATTCTCAGCCGCCAGCTCGGGCACACTCACATTCACACTCACAGTGCCCCGATTGAGGCAGCAGAGTTCTGAAACAGCTGACAGGGTCGGGGGATCCTAGGGCAATGTCCAATATCCATAATACAGAGGGGAAAACTGAGGCTAGGGAGGGGAAGGGATTTGCCCCAGGTCACCAAGCCATGTAGATTCCAATGTGAGCCTTGACTTCCAGCCTTCTGGGTCTTCACACCTAGTCTCAGACCCTCTCTTCAGCAGCCAGGTGGTCTCAGGAATACAGGGAAGATAGCCGCTGTGCCTGACCCTGAAGGCAGTGGTCTGGAGGAGGGCGCTGGACTTCCGTCCATTAGCTTACCTCCCACAGCCTCTGTCTGCACATTGTAGAATGGGAACATGATTCCTATGCAGCAGGGTTGTTGAAGGTTTAATGGGAGGACTCTTCGGGGATGCACGGGGCTCTGTGAGCTCTGGAAGAGGGCCCCATCATTCCCATTTTACAGATGAGGAAACTGAGGCCCAGAGAAAGGAAGTGACTTGCTCAAGGTGTCCCAGGGAGCCAGGGGCAGAATCAGAACCTACCCCAGGTCTCTAGCCCCCTGGACTTGGTAGGTGACACATAAGCATCAGAAGCCAGGCCTGGGGTGGGACTTGCTGTCTCCACCTGCAGGCCCTCGGGTTGGTGAGCTCTGTTTCCTCCCTCCTCAGTCGTCCACCTTGCTCTTCCTCTCCAGGTGGGCATCCAGGTGGCCTCCGAGGACCTGTGCTCTGACAAGCAGTGGAGCGTGTGCAAGGCCTTGGCCACCTTTGTGGCCCACCGGGAGGTCTCCAAGGTAGGAGGCTACACCTGACCACCCGATGCTGCTGGACCACCTGGGTGCCTGTCTACGTGGTGATTCTGGGGGTTGGTGGAGGGGTAGAGGTGGAGGCACAGCAGGGAATCCCCAGAAGAAGGCCCACCCCGTGCTGTGGTTGAACCCCAGGCGCCTCCCCGCTCTGCTTTTCCCCACCTCTCCCTGTGCACCTCGCACCCCAGGATCCTCCAGTTCTCTCCATTGCCTCCCATGTCCTGCGTCAACACCCCCCATCCACAGTGCCTTTGTCCAAGAATGGGGACAGGGACACTGGAGGATGAAAGTGATGTATCAGTCAACAGGGAGATGGAAGATGGGGACAAAGAGGGGGCAAGACTTGTAACCATCCAGCAGCCCCAGGCGTGAGATGGCCGTTTGGGGGACAGGCTCTCACGCTATTCCAGGAAACTTGTCCTGAGCACCCCCCATCTCACCCCCTGCCACAGGTGAAGCTGAAGCAGATCACGCTGCGGACCGAGGAGGAGAAGACAGAGCACAGCGTGGCAGCCGAGCGCCGGCGCATGCGGCTGGTCTACACAGACACCATCAAGGACCTCCTGGCCAACTGCGTCATTCAGGATGGTGAGCGCCGTGCATAGGGAAGGCAGCCCATGTCCTGCATGGCCCCCTCTGTCCTGGGCCCTTACTGAGCAGAGGGAGGAAGGGAATCTCCTTGGGATGTCCACCCATGGGTGGCCTCAGGCCTGGATGGCCCTCTTGCCTCAAGGTTCCTTTGGGGAAAAGGGAGCGTTTGGACATCTCGCCCAGCTCCCAGGAGCCATGAAGATGGAGCTGGGACATACAGAAAACCCTTTTAATCCGCTAAATGCATTTGGGTCTCTAGGAGTCAAGGTATTTGGGAAGGTAGTGTTGAGCTTGGCCTTGAAACCCTAGGACTTTTCAAAAAACAGATAGGTAGCTAGGTAGGTAGGTAGATAGAGATAGGTGTAGACATAGAGATAGAGTAAAAAGCAAGACTCTCTTCTACCCCAGAACCAAGGCTCCCTCCAGAGGCAGCTACTGTTCGTCATTTGGGGGCATCTTTCCAGAAGTATTCTCTGCATATTTAAGCACACTACCTACCAGTTTGCCTCTCTTTTTACCCAAAAGTAAACATACAGTACATACTGTTCTGCATCTTGCTTCTCTCCCCTTAAAGCATATCTTGGAGAGTGTCCTGTACCAGCACACAAAGGTCCACTTTGGACTGGGAGGATTTTGACAGGTGGAGAGGTGAGGCAGGGTTTTCTGACAGAGGGCACAGGCTGGGCAAAGGCCTAGAGGGGTCACCTTGGATTTGTTCACTGATGTCCAGAACACTAGAATGCAGAGTCATCCTTGAAACATAAAGGAGGCAATTTTAGGACCAACCAAGGGTAGTTCAGCTGCCCAGAGTGGAGAGAGAGCAGGCGGAAGTAGCAAACGCCAGTGAAGGCAGTGAGCTGTGCTCTGAATTCCGTGTGCTGTTATTTACGCTGGGCCCGGAGGCCGTGGCTGGGCAGGCCCAGCTCTTTCTACAGTTGTCAAGGCCCATGGGAACCATCCATTCCCACTGCAGCCCCTGTAGATCCCTCCTGTCTTGACAGCCCTTCTACCCAAGCGTCAGTCCAAATGCCTGAGCCTGGCATCCAGGCCCTTGGCTGACCACTCAGTCTCATCTGGTGCTGTCCCTTTACTTGCCCTCAGCTCCAGCTAAGCCAAGGTCCTCGTTGCTCCCTGTGACTGTCCTCCCTGTCTGGTCTCCAGAACTTGGCTCAGGCCTTCAACCTCCCCTCCTCCCTGCCTGTGGCATCTCTGAGCAGCCTGCAAGCCAGGTGAAAGGCTACCTCTTTCACAGGCCTTCCCTGATGAGCTCTCGCCCCGCCCCCCGGGAGATGGGAGATGCACGGCACCTCCTTGGTGCTGAATAAATAAAAGAATCTGTGTGGGGTGGACTGGTGGGCATGGGGGTCCTGGGCTGCGCATGGGGAGGGTCTGCCCTTGGGAATTTTCTCACCTCCCCGCCTCCCTCCCTCTGCGCCTCTCTGGTCAGATCTGGAGAGCAGAGACTGTAGTCGCATGGTGCCAGCCGAGAAGACCCGAGTGGAGAGTGTGGAGCTGGTCCTGCCCCCACACGCCAATCACCAGGGCAATACTTTCGGGGGCCAGATCATGGCCTGGATGGAGAACGTGGCCACCATTGCAGCCAGGTGAGGGAAGTGCCCTGCCTGTGCCTCCCCTCCTTTCTCTTCCTCCTTCCCTTGGCCAGCTCTCTCTGCGGGAGAAACCCCAGCTTGGTACTGGCATTCAAGGCTTCAGAAGCTTGGCTCTTCTTTCAGACCCAGAGAACCAGAGAGGAATGACTTTCTGTGAGCTCACCATTCCTTCCATGGTTCCCATCATGGCATGGGAAATGCCAAGCCCCCCGGCTGGCACCAGGGCCCCCCCTTGCCCTGGCCCTTCTTGCTTGCTTCCTGGATCTTAATGCTTCTTGCAAATCAAGCCATTTGCCTTTCCCCTTCCAATCCTCCATGCTCCCATCCCCCGCCTTCACTCCTGGCTGGCTTCCCATCATGCCAACTCCAGTATTCTTTGTCTGCTGAAATCCTGCCCATCTCCTCCATGAAGCCTCTTTCACTGTTTCCTTCTCCCTAGAGGTGGAAATAATTACTTCCTTTTCCTATAACCTCCGTGCCAGTCCAGGTCTTGTTCTGCTCCAAGTATCGGGGCTTGTTTTTATAGTTATGATAACTGACATTCACTAACTGACACTCTCATACCTCCATGACTTTGTACTTGCTGTTCGCTCTGCCATGAGTGCCCTCCCCAACCCACGTCCTCCTCAGCCAGGCAAATTCTTCCTCACCCTTTAGAGACCAGCTCCAATGGCCCCTCCTCTGTGTTTAACCTGTGGACACAGTACATAAGCAATGCTATTTTGGGCAGACCAGGCTATGAGAGTAATAAGATCTCAGAGGAGGGTCAGAGTGTGGATAGTCAGGGAAGGCTTTCTGGAGGAGGAGTACTTCATCTGGGCCTTGAATGACGAGTAGCTTTGGGTAAGGGGAGGGCTTCCAGATAGTAGGAAAAGCAGGTGCTAGGGTGTAAAAGTTAGAAGGAAAAGGTTTGCCGCCAGCCCTGCCCTTTCCTATGTCACCTCAAATTCAGCTTTTTTCCAGCTACGCACGTAGACCTCAGTATTCTAAGCTGTGATATTGGACTTTAGTTCTCTTCCTCTGGGCAGAGCTGTCACTGGGTTGGGTGGGAGTGGGTGGGCCAGAGGGTGGTACGTGTGGTTCTGGGCTGGGTCTGGGGATGGGGGCAGCAGGAGAAGGCTGGCCGAAGCCAGTGGCTGAAGTACTGGAGGCATTTGTCCTGTCCCCCTGACCCCCGCCTCTTCCAGCCGGCTGTGCCATGCCCACCCTACGCTGAAGGCCATTGAGATGTTCCACTTCCGGGGCCCGTCCCAGGTTGGGGACCGTCTGGTGCTGAAGGCCATCGTGAACAACGCTTTCAAGAACAGGTATGGGGCTGGGATGGGTGAGATGGGGCCTCTTGGGGTTGAGGGCTCTTCCTGACATAAGAAGGGACCTTACTGCAAAACTGCAGGAACTGTTTCCCCTGTAGACGAGGTCTATGAGATCTGAACTCTGCCTGGCTGCTGGGTCCCTTTACCATCACCAAGATTCAGCTCTGATGTTCCTTCTCTGGCCTCCCGAGCCCTGTGCCTGCCGCTGTCACAGGTCACACCATGTGCTTGGTGTGTCTCTGTCTCTCTCCCTGGCTCCTGTCTCTGGTCCTGCCATGCCACACTGTGGATGCTCAGGTCACAGGGCCACCTCTTGCCAGTGTTCCCTTGTTTATCAAACCCTTTCCTACCCTTTTCCTAAAACAGCAGTTAGTTCCCAGAGCCCTTACCTTTGGAATGAATTCTGATACCCCCATGAAAGCTTCTTGGTGATTTCAAAGATTTGGTCATTTTCAATGATAGCGTAGTTGTTAAAAGTGAGGGATCTGGAGCCAGGCTGCCTGGGTTCAGATTTGGTTCATGGCTTATCAGCTGTGTGACTTTGGGCAAGTTACTTAACCCCTCTGAGTCTCATTTCTTTCACTTGTAAAATGGGGCTCACCACAACTACCTCGTAGCTGTGAGGATTCAATGAGGGGTTACTGGTCGAATGCCAGAGAAAACGTTCAGTGAAGGTCAGCCATTCCTGCTGCTTATTATTAAAATAATTATTATTATTCTACTATTCACAGTCTGACTATCACACATTCTACTGTCATGCAGGGGGAAAGCCCTGAACTAGGTAGGAGCTGTGAGGCCTGGTTCCTAGTGCAGGTTCTCTTCCTTCCTGACTGTTGTGTGACCTTGGGCAAGTTAGCGCCCTGTTCTAGGTCTTGATTTCCCCATCTGCATAATGTCTACACTCTGGGATCACAGACCTTCCTAGGTGAGGGGGAATGGAGGTGGCTGCTCTTTTATTATTCATAAAGACAGTCGGAGATACAGAAACAGCAGCGGCGAGCTGTCAGGGGCGTGGCTACGGCTAGAGGGCTGGTGAATTAGATGTATGATGAACATTTTCTCAAATCAGCCTCTGCCCCTCCACCTCCTTTCTTATGTCTTTCCATCACCCTTTGCAGCTTACGTGACGTATTTTATATAGACGTTTGTTGCCCCATCCCCTATCTGTTAGCCCGTGAGGACCTGGACTGGACTGGTTTATTCATTTCTGTGACCCCAGTGACAAGCATGGGGCCAGGGGTACAGTGGGCACTCTGTAAACATTGTTGAAAGGGAACAGTTCTGGGTTTCCTGCCCATCGGACTCTGATCTGGGCTGTGGGAGGAACTGCAAGAGTACGTGTGTGCCTCTGTGCATGTGTGCGTGCGTGTTGGGGAGGGGGTGGCCTCGGGAAGGTCTTTCCAGCTGAGACCAGCCCTCCTTTCCCCTCAGCATGGAGGTGGGCGTGTGTGTGGAGGCCTACCGCCAGGAGGCCGAGACCCAGCGGCGGCACATCAACAGTGCCTTCATGACCTTTGTGGTCCTCGATGCAGATAACCAGCCTCAGATGCTGCCCTGGATTCAGCCCCAGCCTGGGGTGAGTGCCCCACTACCAGCCCCCCTCCCTCTCTGCCCAGGGTGATAGGACTGGGGAGTGAACCCAGCTCTGTCCTTCTGCTGGGGCACAGCCAGCCCTGAGTGCCCCGGTATAACCCGCCCCCGGGGATGCTCCTTGTGCAAGGAAGGCACCCTGTGCTTCCTGGAAGAACTCAGACCACGTGCTGGGTGTTAACAGGCATTCATGAGCCTGCAGAGCTGTAAGAGCACTGGCTTTGGGGTCAGAGGTGGGTTGGAACCCCACCTTGGCCACGTTCTAGCAGGTGCCCTCTGCGAGCTTTCACTCCCCATCTGTAAAGAGGGTGTATCTGCAGTTCCTGCCTCGCAGGGCTGTTGGGGAGATACTGACCTTGCTCCGGGCTGAGTATGTGGCGACTGCTCTGACCATGGTGACAGGGGAGCAAAAAGCGTAGAAATGAGAGTCAGGGACCTGGGTTCAAGGCTGGCTCTAAACAATGTTCCCTTGTGCCTCCTTTGGTCCCGGCTCGGTCTTGCTTCTGGGGGGCCAGGGAGTGACCTTGGAGAGGTTGCCCCTTCTCTCCAGGAAGGTCACCCACCCAGCCCGCCCACCTTACAAGACTGAGCATGGGCTGTGAAGACCCCCGCTCCAGGGCTGGGCGTTGGGCAGTCAGGATGGGTGGTGGCCGGAGGAGCAGGGAGCCTGGCAAGCGGTGGGACTGTAGGCAGTCCACGAGGCCCTTTCAGGCTTTTGCCACTTAATGTTCACGAGTCGGGAGACGTTAGAAGTAGTGGTTCAGAGGGTGGGCTCTGGGTTCGGGCCATCTGGGTTCTGTTCCTGTCCCCACTCCTTAGCCCTGTGACCTTGGCTGAGCCACTTAGCCTTTCCGTGACTCAGTTTCCTCCTCTGTAAAATGGGGATAGTACTGGGAGTTCCCTGGTGGCCTAGTGGTTAGGATTCTGGGCTTTCACTGCCGTGGCCCGGGTTCAGTCCCTGGTGGGGGAACTGAGATCCCACAAGCCGCACAGTGCAGGCAATTAAAATAATAAAATGAAATGAAATGAAATAAAATAATTGGGGATAGTACCAGTGCCAACCTCAGAGGGTTATCATAATGCTTAGATGCAGTTTTGCATGGAAAACACTTCAGAAGCATGTCTGCCCATAGCAAGTACTCAATAAATGTGGGTTCTTAGTGTTGTAAGTGCCCTTTGGGGATCCCCTTTTACGGAGGAGGTAGCAGGTACGATGAGGGCAGGTGGTGTTCCCAAAGTCACTCAGGGAGCCTCAGGGGAAGCTGGGGCTGGAGCTCAGCGACGGGGCACTGTCCTGGGCAGGCTGCCCCGGTGAGATCTGAACTTCACTTTAGGGCTGCAGGGAGGGTCTCCTTGGGCCCTTTGGGGAAGGGGGCAGGCAGTAATGGGGGCGGGGGCAAGCTGTTTGTCCCTCCTGCACCACAGTCTGTCTCTGCTCCTCTCCCCAGGATGGCGAGCGGCGGTACCGAGAGGCCAGTGCCAGGAAGAAGATTCGCCTGGACAGGAAAGTGGGGGCCGGGCGGTGCGAGTGGACACGGCTCTAGGGCTTCCCTGTCTGCTCCCTGGCCCTGGGAACTTGTGTTTCTTCGGTGCTTCCCCTGGGCTGCGCCTTTACATCCAGGCAGCCTCTGGTCTTGGCCTCATGACCCAGTGGTCTTACTGGCCCCTTGTAAAGGCGAGGACAGAGGGATTAGGTGGCCACGGGCACTCAGATAGGAATGATGGGCAGAATGAGAATTTGAACCTGGCCAGGTGTGACCAAATTTACTTCTTGTGTTCCTCCCATTGACTCTGATGCCCGTTTGGCAGATGAAGAAAGAAAGGCTCTGAGAGGAGATGCAATTGCTTAAGAAGCAAATCCAGGTGTGAATGACTCTGCTGTGAAAGCACTTCACAAACTTGAAAGGGCTGTCAACGCACCAGGATTCACCATCCGATGTTAATAAGAAAAGTGTGCATATATGGAGGGTTTACCATGTGCCAAGCACTGTTCTCCCTGTGACGACCCCATGAGGAGGCAGGTGTGACCACTGATCCCATTTTACAGCTGAGGACACTGAGGCATAGGGTGAAGTCGCTTTAGCCAGAGTGAAGTCGCTCAGCAAGGGTGTTGGGGGTCTGCACCTTTCCCCCAGCCCGCCCCCACCTCTGAGTGTGTATGTCCTCAGCTGCTGTTTTCTGTGTGCCCATCCAGTCTCCCTGGCCAGACAGGAGTCTCTCCCACGCCGCTGGGCTGAGCACAGGGCCTGGCACACAGTAAGCCAGCAGTGAAGTCTGTGGAAAGAGATGGGCTCCCAAGGGAACAAGGTTGTTGTTTTCCCTCTCTCCCAGGAAGTACATCGTGTCCTGTAAGCAGGCGGAGATGCCCCTCTCTGTCCCCTGGGACCCTAGCAACCAGGTAAGGCCTTCTGCTCTGAGCGGCCCGTTCTCAGGCCTGTTGGGATCCCCGATCCTCCCCTCTTGTGAGCGGGTTTGGAGGTAGGCCCGGAGGGGACAGGATACTGCAGCCGCAAGACTGGCACAGGTAGCCCAGGGCTTTCCTGTGTCCCTTTGCTTGGCAGGAGGGAACTGGGGCCCCAAGAGGAGGAGGAGTCTGCCAAGCCCCGGCCTCCTTTCCCAAAGCCAAGGGCTCCTTCCTTCACGTCCAGTTTCCTCTCCCCACCCCAGCGCAGCCCGGCACGGAGCCCCCGAGGAAGGCGGAAGTTGAGGCTTCTCTGTGTGCTCTGTCCAGGTGTACCTGAGCTACAACAATGTCTCCTCCCTGAAGATGCTCGTGGCCAGGGACAACTGGGTGCTGTCCTCAGAGATCAGCCAGGTAGCTTACCCCACCCTCCCAGCTTTCCTTCCTCCTCGGAGTCACCAGAGGTGGCTGACTGTGAGACACAAAAACCTTCTCAAAGCACTCCAGTCAAAGGGAGATTCCTTAAAAGGAGCTGGATGAGGTCATGAAACCAGCCCAGTTATAGAAGCAAACCTGCCCCGCCAGGGCCTGGAGTGGGTGTCCCCCCTCCGGATCCTCTCCTGCCCACCCACCTTCTTGCCTCCCATTTCATCCTCCCTCACTGCGTCCTCCCTCTCTCTGCTCCTTCTACAGTGACGCGCTGCTGGGATGGGGGCCTGGGGCAAGCGCGGGCTGAGGGAGGACTTGAGCTCTGCCACTTTTGCCTGTGACTTTAGGGGGCTGGATGGCACCTGGCTCTGAGGATTCATTCTGTTGTTGTTTCGGCCCCTGCTTCTTTATCTCCTTTTAACAAAATTTTTCCACATTAAAAAAATTGAGGTATAATTTACATGTAGTAAAATTTCCCCTTTTTACTGTATAATTCTAGTTTGGAAAACACATAAAGTTACAGAATCACTACCATAATCAAGATACAGAACATTTCCATAATCCCCCCAGTTTCTCTCATTCCCCATTGTGGTCAAGCCTCTTCCCACCCCCAGCCCCAGGAAACCACGGATCAGTTTTCTGTCCCTTTAGTTTTGTCTATTTTGAGAATGTCCAATACGGAGAGTCATACAGTATATAACCTTTCAATCTGACTTCTTTCTCTTGGCACAAGTCATTCACTCGTGTTGAGTGCCTGTTTGAGTTTGTTCCATTTCGTAGTGAGTACCATTCCATCCTGTGCTTATGCATGCAGTCACTGCTCCTTCAGACACCTTCCTATCCACTTGTGCTGAATCTCCCCATTTTCATGGGAATGCGACCGAGGCTCAGAGAGGTTGAGTCACTTGTTCACAGTCACACAGCAATCAGTGGCAGCCCTGAGCTTCCAGCCCCGGTCCCCAGCATAGGCTGAGGAGGAGGCACGGGAACGAGGCTGCCCTCTGGCCCACGCAGGTCCGCCTGTACACTCTAGAGGAGGACAAGTTCCTCTCCTTCCACATGGAGATGCTGGTGCACGTGGACGCCGCCCAGGCCTTCCTGCTGCTCTCAGACCTCCGTCGGAGGCCCGAATGGGACAAGCACTACCGGTGAGGGCAGCGGGGTGGGGTGCGGAGGTGGGCCCTCAGGTGTCTCCTCCTGAGCCGTCCCCCCACTGTGCTCAGCGCCTGCCGGCCTTTAGCAGGGAGGATGGGGGTGGGGCACTTGGTTATGTGTTAGGTGAGCATCAGAGTCAAGGGTAGTCTGAGCCCTCAGGGAAGAGCGTGAGCCTGGAATTGGAGTCGGGGGCCTGGGTTTAAGTCTTGTTCCTGGCCTAACTGTGACCATGGCAAGTCATGTCTTTTCTGGGCCTCAGCTTCCCTCCTCTTAAAATGGGTACTTGAGGTGTGGGTTGTAGATTTGCACCCAGGGATAGATCAGTGATTTTCAAAGCGTGTTCTGTGGAGTTCTACCTTCCCAGAGGGGGCTCAGGGACTGCTTGGGGAGGTAGCTGGAAGTGGAGGGGGTGGGTGGGAACCCCTCCCAGACTCATGGTAACTCAGAGAATGGCCAATTTGCTGAATTTACCAAGTTTGCCAGTTCTTCATGTGGATATGTACATGAGTGTACAGGAATGTTATTTTTTAATGTAGTGAGTTCCTGAATATAAATGTTGTTCCTATAAATGCACTTGTTCCCCAAATTTATTGACTCTCCATGTAAGTTTTTGCTTAGGAAAATAGCCAAAATTTCAGTGTTTAATATGGGAATGTTAGAGTTGAAACTGGTATTTTTTTCAAATCCCTTTCAAGTCACTTTCTGTTATGCCAACACCCTCCTTTGGGGGTTCTTTGATCATTTCTCCAATGGCTTATTAAGAGGAGCCTATATTCCTCAGTGTATCCATAAGAAGGATCTGTGCATTTGGAAATTCAGTAAGCAGGTCATTTGGTGAGTTGATATTTGACAAATTGGCCTTCCCCTACCTTTCCCCATCTCTCTTCACCAAAGCAGGCCTGCTTGTAGCTGTTCACACACAGGCTTTCTGCATAAGGTTTCTTTGCAAGAAGGGCTGAGTTGCTTTAAAAAGCCCTGGTCTAGGTTTGCCTCAGGCCTGCTGGCCATGCCATCCTGGAAGCCTGAGAGGCGATTTGGTGGTGGATGTTGGGGAGAAGGGGTTGGGCATGTGGTAGGAAGGCTTCTTGGAGGAGGCGGGCTAGTGTGGGCCTTGAAGGCCCGATCAGATCTTGAGGCTTGATGGGATTGGGGGGTGTGTCCTGAGGGGAAGGGAGGCCCTAGCAGCTTTCCTCCACCCTGCCCACAGCTGCCCCGTTCCTGAGGCAGCTTCCAGGGTGGGCGGGAGAGCAAGGAAAAGGTGGCGGGTCTGGTCGTGGTTGTGTGTGTCTCTGCGTGGATGTCCTTGTGTGTGTGCGCGTGTTGGTGTGAGCCTACGTGTGTCTACCTGGGCACATGCGTGCAGTGTGCCTGGGCCTGAGGGGCATAGCTCTGGCGCCCAACAGCCCAAGCACGTCCCACACCTGCTTCCTTATTAGCTCTGTGGCCGGAGGTGAGTTATTTCTCTGAGTCTCGGCCCCCTCGTCTATAAAATGGGGATACTAAGAGTACCAACTGCATGGGCTGATGTGGGGTTAAGTGAGATGGTACCCATGACGCTCTTAGAGCAGTGTCTGGCACACAGTGGGCGCTCACTAAATATACAGCACGACTCCTAAATCATCACACATCTGTGTAGGGTATGTGCACCTGCACATAGACAGACACCCATAGTTTTGTGTGTGCATCGGTGGGTGTCTATCTATGCGTCTGTGCACATGTGTGCCCACGGGTGTGTGTGTTCATTTGCTTGTGTATGTGTCTGTGTGCCCGTGTTTATCTTATTTTCTGCCCTCCTGTGGTCCCTGCTGAGCAGTGTTAGGGGTGAAATATCCCCCAAGCACCTGCTCAGGGCAGCTGAAGCACAGGGGGGCCTGGGCCAGATCTGCTCTCACACGAGGAGCTGGGGTGGCGCCCGTGGGTTTTGTACAGGAGCGTGGAGCTAGTGCAGCAGGTGGACGAGGATGATGCCATCTACCACATCATCAGCCCCGCCCTCGGCGGTGACCCCAAGCCCCAGGATTTTGTGATCCTGGCCTCTCGGCGGAAGCCTTGTGACAACAGGTGCGTGCCTGCCTTCTGGGGTGGGAGGTGGGCAGGGCTCATCTTCCTCCCCAGGGAGGGGACATCAGCCTAGAGTCAGCCCTCTGCTTCCTACTGGCCGCAGTGGTCTTACTGTGGGTAGAATGGAGGACATGGGGATGCCTGGCCCCTCTAGTCACTCACGCTCTAAAGCGGGGTGGTCTCTGTCCCTGGGGTAGTGAGGGCGCCTTGTCCCAGGCCACAGACAGGCCAGTTCTCACATGGCTGACTCCTTGGCCTCCAGCCTCTGAAGGCCCTGTGTTGGCTGAAGGGTGGTGAGGCTGTCAGCTGTGCCATGGTGGGGATGCCAGAGAGATGGCATCACTTCTGCTAGAGACAGGCAAAAAGATGAAGCACAAAAATCCCAAAGAGCAACACTGCTTCCTGAGTGTCTGCAGTGGAGGGGCTTTTCCAGAAAGTCCACAGTGCAGTCACGCTGGCTCCTGGTGAGTTCAGAGCTGCTAACCAACAGGCATCTCCTCTTTACAGCTTGGCCCAGAGCCAGGCTCTGTGTGCCTCAGACTCTGGAACCAGGCCCTCACCATCTCCTGTGTCCCCTCCACACCCTTCCTCCATTCCAGGGACCCCTATGTCATTGCGATGAGGTCAGTTACGCTGCCCACGCACCTCGAGACCTCGGAGTACAGGCGTGGGGAGACCATCTGCTCAGGCTTCTGCTTCTGGCATGAGGGGGACCAGTTGACCAAGGTGAGGCTGGGTGTCTCCTTTCCCCCTCCCACCCAGATTCACCCCAAAGCCACACTTGTGTCCAGAACTCAGCACTGTCCAGCTCAGACAGTTCCCGACTCAGTCTCCCCTGCCTGCCAGCAGTCTCTCTCTTCCAGCTCAGGGGAGCCTAGGAGTGTCAGGGGCTGAAAATGAGCCTTCATTAAGACCTAATCTGTGCTAAGCCCGAGGCCACTGCAGGGTCTTGGAAAAAGCACGGGACACAGAGGGCAGAGGCCCTGGGTTCTGATCTAAAATTCTATCTCCTCATTTACTTATTGTCTAGGAAGGATTTATATGGCTCTCAGCGCCCATAAAACTCAGCAGGGCAGTCGGTGTTAACTAAAGCGTAGGGGAGAAGGCTGAGAGTGGCTGGGCTGGGGATGCCCACTGCCCCTTCCTCAGCTCACAGTGGCTCTGAGACTCCCCCCCAGGTAGGGACTTGGACAGTGCTAGCTAACTTAACACATCTAAACTGACAAGCTCCTCAGGGCAATCCTTGGGCTTATTCTAACTTGCGGATGGCCCTAGAGCACCTTCATTTAAAAGGGATTCCGTGCTGGGCTCTGGAGACCCAGCCCCGGTCCTCCAGGGCCCCCCAGCTGACAGGGGAGACACGTGATGACAGTAGTGTGTGGTGACAGAGGGAAGCCAGGGTTGTCAGCACCCGGGGTGGGGGTGAGGGGTGGAGGAGGTCACACCCGCCAGTCACGCAGTCTTCTAAGGCCTCAAGTGCTGACTGGTATTTGCTGCCTTCCTAGCAGGCGACAAGGCTGCCTCCCGCCCGCCTCATGTCCACTCAGCTCCCACCCCTCCCACTGCCCAGCCTCCCTGAGTGTGGCTTCCCATCCTGCAGGTGTCCTACTATAACCAGGCCACCCCAGGCTTTCTCAAGTACGTGACCACCAATGTGACTGGCCTCTCGTCTGAGTTCTACACCACCTTCAAGGCTTGTGAGCAGTTCCTCTTGGACAACCGGCGCGATCTGGCCCCCAGCCTCCAGACCCTCTAGGCATCTTCAGTGGCCACCTCACGCCCAGCTCCCGCTCCATGTGGCCCTGAGGACACACACGCAGGGCACCGAGGGAGGCAGAGACATTTATTCCTTCCTGCCACCCCCGTGGCTCCACCAGCCCAGCACCCCTGGGTGGTCACTTTCTGCCAACATCCGCCAGCAAGTCTTGGTAGGAACTCTGGGGTAGCCTGTAGTAGACTCGGGTCCTCTCCACGGCCCTGGCTGCCAGCAGCACTGCCCGCACAGATGCATAGCTGCCCCAGCCAGGGCTGTGTTCCACTGTGACAGTGGCCCGGGGGGAGGCTGCCAACAGCCTGGCCACGACTCCAGCCGTGCTCTGGCCCAGCGGCCCAGCCTGAAGCTGGAAGGACACGGGTTGCCAGAGGCCCTGGCACAGCTCCAGCATATCTGTGAGCAGCTGTTCCCTGTAGCCACTGCTCAGCACTTCCTCGGGCCAGCCTGGTGCCACCGTCACATGGGGGAAAACCTCGGCCACAGCTGTAAGCAGCTCCCTGCCAGTCACGTAGCCAGGGACCACAAAACTCCCGTGGGAGATTGTGGCCCCGACCCACACAGGCCTAGGCAGGTGGCCAAGGGTGGAGAGGGTGGCCAGTGTGGCCAGGGATGGCCGGAGGGCCGTGGGCTCTGCTATGTGCACATGGATGCCCCAGCGTCTGGCGCGCGTGGCCAGCTGCAGCAGGCAGAACTCCAGTGTCAGGACACGGCCATCTGGGGCACGTACGATGGGCACGGGGTCCCCAGCTGCAGGCTCCAGGAGGCCAGCTTCCAGCAGGATCATGCCTTCTCTGTCTGGAAGAGGCAATGGAGGCAGCAGCGGGGCAATGGGATCTGTCGATCAGATCTGGGTTCCAGGTGGAAGGGCTGCTTTATGAATGTGCCCGGGGCTCGTCAGAATGATACAGTGAGTTGCTAGCTCGGCTCTGGGCCCTTGCCTGTGGCTCAGCCCTGGGTCCCATGCCCGCCTCTCTTGCAGCGTGATGTGACTGAGGGCTCACAGGTGCTGAAGGCCCGGAGCCCCGCACTTTTGACAGCGCTGTACTTCCTACCTTGCAGCCGTGTTGCTATGGTAACGGAGATCTGAGGCAGCTTCCCCAAGTGTAGGAAACTTGTGGTTGAGCTAGGAGCACAGGGGCTGCAGGTGGACCTTACCTGGGAGTCGCATTGTTGCTGTGCTCCTGTTGCCCTGGATGTCAGGAACCAGCCACTCCACGCTCAGCCCCTCATCCCCAGGGAGTTGGAGAAAGGGGATCAGGCTGCCTCCTGTGTAGTAGCTTTGCTTCCGTGAGGCGTTCACTGTGGGGCAAATTGCCAGGATGAAGAGGCCGCTGGTCACAGAGCCCTTCTGTGCACCGCGCATCCTCTCTAAGCCTCACAGCAAGCTTCCTGGGAGCTGTAATTCCCTGTTTTCTAGATTACAGGTGATTTGCCCAAGGTCCTACAGCCAGTAGGCAGGGTTGCTGGGATTGGAACCTGATGGAGCCAGGTCCGTCTGGCCCCAAAGCTGGTATTCCTCCCCCTCACCAAGATGGCTCCCAAGGCAGGAGTGTTGGGTCTGATGGGTTCCCTTTGAGATGGCCTAACTGCAGGCTGTCCTAGGTTTGGAGTCAGCGGAGTGGATGTTTGGACAAGGTAGCGTCTGCATCACTGATTAGCAGGTACAGTGGAGGGGCCGTTCTCTGAAACGCTAGAGGAAACCTTAGAGGAACTATATTACAAGGGGAAGCACATGGGGTTTGGAATTTGCTGGTTCCAGTAGGAGCTGTGCCACGTTCAAGCTGAATGACTTTGTATAAATTACCTAACTGCTCTGAATCTCAGTTTCCCTATCTGTAAAATGGAATCCCTGCTTCACAGATCTATAAAGCTTAGCATACTGTGCTGGGGTCTGGCATACAACTGACACTTAAAACGATCCCTTCCCCCATCCCTCCTAGGATTTTCCCCTTCCAGTGCCCCATCCCACCTAACTCTGCTGCCGTGTCTACCAAGTGCTGCCCTGTGCAGAATCCGGCCCCACCGCCCTTCCCCACGCTGCCCAGACCCCTCCCTACTGGCGAGCTGCTTGAACTGCGACAGGAGAGGCTCGAAGAGGTCATAGTAGACTTGGTGGGTGGCGGTGTTGTCCCGGACGTAGAGGAGATCGTCCACTGACACGGGGTCTGAGGTGGCCTGCCACAGCGTCAGGCTGTACCTGGGGTCCAGAGAGCCAGTTCAGTGCCTGCCTGGGCCCAGCAGCCCTCAGCCCCACTCCTGTGCTCAGAGCTGGACCCGAGCTGGGCAGGGGGGGAACACTACCCTGCTTCCTGGGGGCAGAAGAAGCCACAGAGGCCTCGGGAACGATGACTGAGAGTAGAGGCTGAGAAGGAGGGGAGATGGACTGCCCTGCCTCCTCACTTGGAGTGTCTATTTCTGGGTCCTGTCTTAGGAAGGAGACAAGGACAGAAGAGACGGGCGCAGGGGGTGGGGCTAGAGGTCAGGTATGAAGAGGGGAAGGGGGCGGCCTCCAGTGGGGAGAGGCTGAGGAAGGTGGGGCAGCTGGGGACAGAGTGCAGGGGTGGGGATGGGGCTTCCTCAATCCCTACAGAGCTATCTTGGGGCAGAGGCTGTAGGTGCAATCTGTGTAGCCCCAGGGAACAGCTGGCTTCCATGGGAGGAAGCTGTGGGAGGCAAATTGTGTCTCAGTGTAGACACTTTCCAACGGGCAGAGAGTTGTCTGTCAATGGACGGGCTGCCTCAGATGCTAGTGAGCTCCCCATTACCGGAGGCATACAAGGAGAAAGCAGGGACATTGTGAGCACCAGCAGAGGTTGGACCAGGTGATCAATAAGACCCTTCTAGCCATGAGCCTCTGGGATCTTCTGGGGGCATCAGTGCCTGGGAGCGGGTTTGGAGGGAGTGGGAGCTGTGGCAGGGGCCTGGGAGTCCTCACCTCTCAGATTGGCCCAGCAGCCAGCTGAAGTGGGGCCAGGCAGCCCGTACCATGACAGCCCGCACAGGGAAGGTGACCTTCTGCGGCAGTCCTTCCACCAGCCCCTGCATCTTCTCTACCATGGCTCGGGTATATGTCCCGTTTGGGAACAGGGGCAGGTAGAGGGTGGTCCAGCCTGGAGACAGGGTTGCCTTAGAATACTTCTCCTGGACCAAGGCCAGGAACCTGCAGAGAATCAGAGATGCTGGTCTTTTAGAGCCCCTTCCTCATCTCCCAGGTTCCCATCACAGTGCTAAGAAGAGGCAGGATCTCTTGCATCTATGATATAAGGGCACAGTCCTAAAGAACAGAAATGGCTTGCTCAAAGTCCCAGAGTAGGGCATGGACTTTGGTGTTGGGGAGGTCTGGGTTTGGGTCCTGATTCTGTGACCTTGGGCAGCTCACCCAGCCCCTTTGATTCTCAAAGATGGCATCCTTTCAGGCAGGACAGGCCTTCGTAAACATACCCACATGGACGGGGGGATCTAAAGCCCCAGGTGTGGGATGTGGGTTCTCCCAGCTGTGAGAGTCTCTGAACTTTCATATTTTATTTAAAAATTTCATTCAGATTTTGCCTTGATGCAAATTTTAATAGGCAAATAATGTTACCCTCTCCCTCTCCCCAAATTATTGAGTAATTTTCTTCACTCCAAGAAGGTGAACCATTATTTATCTTGGGCCACTGACTACATTTTCAAACTGCTGCTTTCCAAATGCACCTCAGTTTGAGAATCGTGATAAATATTGGACGGATGGATTGTTGGCTGACTGCCTGGAAAGATGGATGGATGGATGGATGGACGGTAAAGAGCATGGAGGTTAGAGTCAGATAGGCCTGGTTTTGAATCTTTCCTCTGCCAATTACTAGATTTAGGCAAGTCATTTAACTTCAGTGAGATATTTCCTGTATTAATAAAATGAAAATAATATTACCTACCTCATTCTCAAGTAAGAGTTAAGTGGTATTCTACAACTAGAGTACTTAAAACAGTGCCTGTGACACATAATAAACATTCAACAGATTGTGCCTCAATTATTGTCAGCTTTCTCATCTGCAAAATGGTGAGAAAAAATGCTCCTAACCTGGCATTGCTATGTGAAGATTAACTCAGATGTATGCTCTCCTTTTAAGTGGCCCTTTGTAAACTGGAGCACACCATGAAGCTGGTGTTACATGAGGGCGGTTGGTGGCAGTGCTGGGATTTCATGGGGGGCTAAGGAAGGAGTCAGTGCTTTAGACTTTTCTAGCAGGCCAAGTGTTGCCCTTGTCACTGGACCAGGCCCTGTTTGCCCTCCAGGAATAATCACTGTAGTAAGGGTGACAAACCTGTAATCCAACGGTGATAGTCCAACGAAATCAGGACTGTTAGGAGAAAGTGTGAGTGAAGGCCCTCAGCGGCCTTGGATGTCAGGGAAGTTTCTGGGACAGGTAATGACTGGGCAAAGGTTCATCAGGAAATGGGGGAAAGGCATTCGAGGCAGAGGGAATAGCACGTGTGAAGGCTCAGAAGTCAGACTACATGGTGTGGCTGGAAGCAAACTCAGCAAGGGTCCCCTGAGCACCTACTGTGCCAGATGTTGACGGAAGAGGATTGGACACAGCTGGGGCAGAGAGGCGAACACTCACTGTGTAGCATTGACTTCTATCGGGATGGCCATGTTGGGGCCCCTCAGGATGTCGGCATTGATCCACACAGGCCTCCGAACTCTCCCCTCCTCAGTCAGCCGCCGCAGGAGGTCCAGGGAGGGGCCCACGGCCTTGATGCTCTTGAAGTCTAGTTTGATGCCTGTGGGGAGAGGGCCAAGGACTTGGGGAACTGGTCCCTCATGCTCAAGGAAGAAGGAAACAGAAGACATGACTTCCTGGGACAGAGAGAGCAGGTATGGTATGTGTGTTGGGGGCAGGGAGGGAAGACAGGGACCAGATTCTCGCTGGGTGTGAAGAAGGGTTTTCAAACAGGCAGAGCTAACCTGGAGAGAAAGGACTTGCCTCTGTAGGAATGAGCTCCCGTCCCCCATCACCAAGGGGAGGAAGCAGATGACGGGTAAGGGCTTGGGACTTGGGGCAGGTTCAGGGGTTGTCAAGCGTCGGATGAAAAGGGACTGTGATTCTTGGACAGGCAGGCTCAGAGGGTCCTAAGCCACCTGAGCCTGAACAGCAGGAGATGAGGCTGAGAAGTTAGAGCAGGATGTTGCAAGACAGGCCAAGGAGATCACACTTTGTCCTGAGGACAATGGGGAGCCATGGAGGGTTAAAGCAGGGGAGTGACGTGACAACTGGCATTTTGGAAAGTTCACTCAGGTAGGGGCTGAGTTTGGAAGCAGGAAGCCAGTGAGGAAGGAGGTCCAGGAGAAAGATGATGTGACTGGGACTGGATCAGGGGGTAGGCTTCAGGGTTAGAATTGGCAGGTGCAGCAGCTGAGCGGATGTGGAGGATGAGGGAGAGACATTAGGGTGATGCCTGGATTCTGACTATAACTGGCAAAGAGACATGGGAGGGGAAGGTGGAATTTGGCTTTTGAGCATGTTATATCCAGTTCCATGGATTCAGGGCCCAAACATGTTTGGCCCTTTGCAGCTTACCCTGCACTTTTTTATCCCTCGTCTCACTGATCTTCCCCGAGCCCAGGCCTCTAGAGCGGTGGGCTGGAAAGCCAAGGCAACGAGCAACTCCTGACGAGCACTGGACTAGCTTCCTAGTGGAAGGACCTCTGCACATGCAGCCTGAGGACCAGAGGGCTGGGCAGCTGGGGAGGGGTTGAGAGAGGTCCTTACCCTTCTGGGAAGAAGCCAGCACGGCCTCCAGCCACTGCTGTAGGGTGTTGTCACTGTAGATGGCTGGGGGGTGCGCCATGATGGGGACCCCTGTCTCATTGACTGTGCCGAGCCCTTCTACCGTGACGTCTGCCTCCAGGGCCACAGCGTCACCTGTGCAAGAGGACAAACTCCATCTTGATTGGTTCCTTTTTTTTTTTTTTTTTTGCTGCACAACTTGTGGGATCCTAGTTCCCCGACCAGGGATAGAACCTGGGCCCCGGCAGTGAGAGGGCCGTGTCCTAACCACTGGACCGCCAGGGAATTCCCAGATCATTTCCTTTTTTAAAGCAATTTTTCTCATCATCAAAGTATTACACATTTATTATAGAACATTTGGAAAATACAGAAAAGCAGAAAGAAATATTTGCCCACATTTCTAAATTTTTGCTACTAACAAATAATGATGCATATTTTATTCTGATTTTCTGATTATTTTTTATCCTGACTTGAGGAAAGCATTTCCATCATAGTTCATTTTTTGATGTATTTTCTTCCACTTTTATCTATTTATAGTTTTTACACAGTTGGGAATACTCTGCATTTATAATTTTGATCTTTTTCTTTCAATAGTGACACATTTTTTACAATCTTTTCTATGTTTCATTAAAAAAAAAAGCTGCAAAAACCCGATTGAGGGCACTCACCCTGCTTTAGTTAGCCACTCTCCCATTCCTGAGACATCCTAGTAGTTTCTAAATTTTTGCTACTAACAAATAATGATGCATGTTTTATTCTGATTTTCTGATTATTTTTTATCCTGACAAGGAATTTGAGTCAGGGCCATGCAGGGTGTTTTTAAGGCCCATACTAACAAATTACTGTCTAGAAAAATTCTTCTGACTCATGTTCCTGCCAGAAATACGTAAGCTGGCCCATCTCCAGCACACTTACAGCACTGAGCATCGTTTTTTTTATCTTTTAAATGCACACAGTTAACTC